GGGTGGATGGATGGATGGATGGGTGGATGGGTGGGTGGATTGATGGGTGGATGGATGGATGGGTGGAAGGGTAGATGGGTGGATGGATGGATGGGTGGATGGATGGGTGCATGGGTGAATGGATGGATGGATGGGTGGATGGTTGGGTAGATGGATGGGTGGTTGGGTGGATGGATGGGTGGATGGTTGGGTGGATGGATGGGTAGAAGGGTGGATGGATGGGTGGATGAGTGGATGGATGGGTGGATGGATGGGTTGATGGATGGGTGGATGGATGGGTGGGTGGGTGGATGGTTGGGTGGATGGATGGAAGGGTGGATGTATGAATGGGTTATTGAGTGTATGGAAGGGTGGATCGATGGGTGGTTGGATGGATGGATGGGTGGATGGATGGAAGGATGGGTGGATGGGTGGGTGGATGGAAGCATGGATGATTAGTTGGATTGGTGGATGGATGTGTGGATAGGTGGATGGATGGGTAGATGGATGGATGGGTGGATGCATGGATGGATGAGCAGGTGGATGGATGGGTGGATGAGTGGATGGGTGGATGGGTTGACAGATGTATCGGTGGATGGGTGGGTGAATGTGTGGGTGGGTGGATGGATAGATGGGTGGATGGTTGTGTGGGTTGGTGGATGGAGAGGTGGACTTAGGGAGGGCGGGAGAGGAATCTTTCCCCCTTCCCTGCTCCCTGACCCCAGGTGGGCTTTCATTAGGGAGAGTCCGAGCTGGCATCTTGAGACTTAGACACCTTCCCTTTCCTCCTCATGGGAAGGAACCACAACCCAGTTCTCCCAGCCCCAGACTTTCTCTGGGACCCTCCCCCTTCCCACTGCTGGGGGTGGCCTCCTAGAGGAACCTCCTGGCAAACCTTGTGCGAAGCTAAGGACACTATCCAGCACCAGGTTCTCCCTCCTGGGAGTCTGGGTTTCTGGGGAGGGGCTTTGGCCTTCTCCCTGCTGAGAGGACACTGGGGATGCCCTGGTGGCATCCAGGTGTGGAGCCACCCAAACCTGTCACCTCCTCCCAGTTCACGGATGCCGCCAGGTCAGCATCCAGGATTCCCGGGCCAGATCCGCAGGAAGGAAGGCGTGGGTCTCCACGCGGCTCCCCTGGACACTGAGCTGTGGCCTGGGCAGTGGGTACAGAGCTGTCCCTGGAGGTCCCCCGGGTGCCCACCGCTTCTCATTAGTGCCAACCAGCCCAGCCCATTAGAGGCTCACCTGCAGAGGAGCCCGGGAGCAGAGAGGCTCACAGACGGCTCCTTCCCCCGCTGCTCCCTGAGACTTCTGCAGTAAGTGAGCGTTTCTCTTCCAGGACAAGTTGGTGGATCAAAGAAACGCACAGCGGCCCCTCTGACCAGGAGCCTCCGTCCTGCTGACCCCCGAAGCACTGCCCAGGTGACAAATCAGCAGCCGCCTCTCCTTTCTCTGTGCACCTGTGCCCTGTCGCCTGCCCCTGCCCCTCTGCCTGCCCCCTTTCGTCAGTCCCTGTCTCCTCTGCCTCTTCTCCCTCTTGCTCTTTTCGATCATTTCTCTGATTGCTGGTCCCACTCTTCTCTGCTTTCTCTTCCTTCCCCCCTATACACTCACTCTCTCACTCAGTGGATCAGCTGGATTAACTGAGGGTCTACTATGTGCCTGGAGCAGCTGTAGGCACTGGGAGTAAGACAGGGGTCAAACCTGTGTTTAGAGAGCACAGGAGGTGGAGGCATGTCCCTCAAGGAAACAGCACACAGAGAAGGTGGCTGTGCCCCAGGCTCAGCTCCCTGGCCACCTGGTTCCCTGCCCTGGTCAAGCCCCCTTCCCGTCTCAGCCTGTGTCTGCGTTTCCGGAAGGAGGCTGTTGGGCTGGGCGGGTACTTCCCAATCTTTTCATGACCGAGAGCGTCTTTCATTGATGTGCTTGGTGACATAAGTTGTCTGGGGTGGAATTCTAGGCTGGCACTGACCCTTAGTGAGGTGTGAGGTGCCCTAAGTCTGGAGCACCTGGTTTGTTGTGCACGACACCAGCCACCAGCCGAGTGCAGCTGGGGTCACGCTGTGCTGCGGAGCAGGCATCTGTCAGCCTGGGGCACTCTGTGGCCAGGTGAGGGGCTGCTGGGATAGGCGTGGGGTGCTTGACACGGTAGGGCCCACCTGGGCAGGCCAGGTGAGCTGGGGACACCTGGACCATCTCCCAAGCTCTCCAGGTGCCTGCAGGCTAGTATGACAGCCGGTCACCAGTGACGAGTCCCGCTCCCTCACCTGTTGAGGTCTGAACATTAGGGAAGCTCCCAAGGCCGCGGCAGGCAGAGAGAGCAGGGTTTATTTACAAAGGGGACACAGACTTCTCCCACGAGGGGGAAGGGCCACAGCTGTATCCTGGGATCCCTAGAAGCGAGGTGGCCTGCCTTTTTACATGTCCTGGGCTTCCTTTGTTCCCTGCCTCTTCCCCTTACCTTCTCCTTCTGGCAGGTGACTGGGCCCAGGAATGTCAGTTGGGACACAGGTGGGCTGAAGGGGGAGGGCAGGTGGAGCCCAGGACGCATCAATTGACAACCTTCTGGCTCCCGGTGTGGAGGGGCCATCCCTGGACGGGTGGCCTGAGCAGCAGGTGGGAGCAGGGCAGGTTAGCTGACGGGGTGGACGAGAGTCATTTGGGAGTCATTTGTCAAGTCTGAGGTCAATGTTTGTACTTGGAAGTCACACAGACGGCATGGGGCAGATCTTGTGAGCAACCTGAGACAGAGGGTCCCCACCTGGGGTGGGCGTCATTGCGCCAACACCAGGACCCTGGCCCGCGTGCCGACCTGAGGGGAGGCCGAGCGGAGTGTGGAAATAACTCCGCCACATTGGTACCCGGGGAACCCAGTCTGAGAACCACTGAAGGCCATCCTTCTCCCTCCTCAAAACGGCCCCTTTGCGGCCTTGGAGGAGGGGCCTGGAGGCCTGGCCACCTGAAGGCCGGGCCCAGCGCCTTTGTGGTTGGTCCAGCCACGAGGGGGGAGGTGACGGGGTCCAGCGACCCCCGCAACCCGCCACCCTGATGCCCTCCGTGGGCCCCGTGGCCTTCCCTCCGCAGAGGTCCCCAGCTCCCTCCCAAGTGCCTTTCGAACATCTTTTTTGAGGATCCACAAAGTCCCCAGACTTCCTGTCCCACCTCCAGTTCCCTCCCGCTCCTTGAGGTGGACGAGGGGGCGCTGGCCACAGCTGGAGGTGAGTGGGCGGGGCCAGCAGCCAGGTCCCGACAGGGATTGGAGCGCGCACGTGTCTGTCATGCCAGTCTGGCCAATGGGCTGTGAGTGTGTCCCTAATGTCAGAAGCCCCTTAGAGAGGTGCAGCTGGTGGCCCAGCAGACGGTTCCCTCTGGACGGTGGGACGTGACGTGGCACAGGAGGTGTAGGGAGGTCTGAGCTTTGCAAAACGATGGCTGAAAGGGGCAAGGAATTGGCTTCCCCTGCGAAGGGCGACGGAGAGCCCCAGCTTCAGATTAAGACAGACCCGGATCTGAATTCTGGCTGTGGCACCGCGCTGTGTGACCTGAGACAAGGGAACCACCTCCCTGAGCCCTGATTCCCTCAGCTGACGAATGGACGGGGGTTGACTGTTTCCTTGGAGGGTTCAGGAGGTTGTGCCCGTCCTGGGCGCACAGTAAGAGCCCGCCCGCCCGCCGAGCGCCCGCTGCTGGTGGCTGTCAACCGTATTAGCTGCCATGTGCTGCTCCCTGGGCCAGCGTTTCCCATGAATCAGGAGGAAGGTTCCATTTTGATCCGACTTTCGCAGAGAAGGGAACTCGGTTGCTTGCAGTTAGGAACTTGCCCGGGGCGCACCCTGGCAGAGCTGGGATTCAGGCTGGGCAGCGGCGCCCTCCTTCCCAGCGCCCGGCCTGCCCGAGGTGGGCTCAGGGCTCTGCCTCCTGTCCCCGCCCTCTCCCTCCTGTCCTGTGTTTCCCACCTGGTCACCTAGAGGTGGTCGGAGGCTCTGCCCAGCAGACAGGTTCCTCTGGGGCCCGTCCTCTGCAAACCTGGCGCACTGGCTGGAACACGCAGCGGACCTGGTTGTCAGGAACACAGGGGGCTGTTCACAAGGCACTGTGTTTATTTTGGCCCCCGCAGCGGGTCCCACCCCAGAGACAAGCTTTGCTTCAGCAGGCAGAGAACAGGGACCCCAGAGCCGGCCTCCAGCACATGCATCTCAGCCTCACCCTTCTGCAGAGCCTTCTGGCCTCCTAAGCCCGCTTTGTCCAAATCAGAGAGTGTTACAAGAGACAGACTCCTTACCAAATTCCTGGTCTGCCATTTTAAATAGAGTACTCTGAGACCAGAGAGAGAAAGTGCTTTGACCAAGGGCACACAGCAGAGACTTACAGAACATGAGCCCGGGCTCCAGACTCCCAGTCCAGTGCTCCTTATGCCCCGCTCCCTGCCTAAGTGTCTGCTCCCCGTCCAGGTGGGGCACAGGATCTGGAGGTGGCCACAGGACATCTCTGTGATGCTGGGCAGCTCACTTGGCCTCCCTGAGCCTCGGGGTACTCCTGTGATCAGGTGCCTCCTGTCTCTTGTGGTTGTTGAAAGATTAAAGACAGTCACTTCCGTGGGGCTGGCCTCCAGTTCCAAGAGCACAGGTCTCTGCATACATGTGGGTTAAAGTCAACCCCCAGCCAAGAGGACAGAGGGGTCAGCCCATCCCAGCCTCTGGTGCAAGCCATGGTCCTGTCTCCTCATCTGGTGGGAAGCAGGAACCCAGGAAAGCAGCGTCAGGTGTGGTCACTGTGAGGGCTGTCCACCCCGTGCCAGCTGTGGCAGAGGGCCTGGACGGGGACTTCTCACTTATTCCTCACAACACGCCCAGTGTGGTTGAGCAAAACTGCCCACGGGGACAGATGAGGAGACCGAGGGCCCCAGAGGCTGAGACACAGAGGTTCAAAGGGGAGGAGCCAGGATGGAACCTCATGTGCTGGGCTCTGGAGCAGAGGGAGGGGCCGTCCTCCTGCAGCCCCCAGTCCTGGGTGGCTCTGGGCTCTGCCAGAGGGTCTGGAGAGGGGCGAGCAGCTGGGGCATCCGGAGTGACCACAGGTCCAGCCTGGCCCAGGAGAGGGCGTGGCAGAGAGGAGGCCCCAGGGAGCCCCGCTGGCTGTGCGCTGGCCACTGCAGCCTCGTCACACACCCTTCCCACTGTGTCCTAGGAGGGCACAGCCCCGTCCCCTCCCAGGGTGCGTCAGGAGAAGCTGAGGACCTGGTGGCCCAGGCGCAGCCCGGCACCTCCTTTCCCTGCAGCAAAGCCAAGAAATGGCCGGGTCAGGCCCATGGCCGAAGGGCGCATGGCGTGGGGGACGCTGGTTAGGCCTGGGCTCTGGTCCTGCCTGGGCCCTAGCAGGTCCTCGGGGCTCTGATGTGGAGTGCTCTGACCTAGCACCACAGGCACAGCCACACTAAGGAAATGACAGGGAGCAGCTCTGGAGCCCCGCCCACTGAGCACAGGAAGGTGCTGTTCTCAATCACCACTTTAAAGTTGGAGAGAGCAAGGCTCAGAGAGGTGGGGTCATTTGCCCAAAGTCACTCAGCACACAAATGGTAGCAGAGAGCTCCTGCCCAGGCAGGCTGGCTCCTACGTCCTCACTCCTAACTCCAGGTCCCCAGGGCAAATCGCTATCCCCAGGAAGAGGATTGTTACCATCTCCTTCCTGCACACTGCAGGATGAGGCTGGCCACGGCCCCTCCGGGTGGGGACCCAGGACTGAGGCCCCTTGTTTTGCAGGTCCAACCACCATGGAAGGCGACTGTCTGAGCTGCATGAAGTACTTAATGTTTGTTTTCAACTTCTTCATATTCGTAAGTCCCCCGGGTCTCCCGGGCCTCTGTGGGGTGGCACAACTGCTCCTGCTTTGAACTGTCATACAGGCGGGTCCCTGGGGCAGGATGGACCCTGGACGGGGCGGGAGGTGGGGGAGCTCAGGCCTGGCCACTGCCTGGGGACCTGGCCCTGTGAGGAGCGGGGAAGGGGCCAGAGCAGGAGCCCCCCTGGAGCAGACCCTGCCCAGGAGAGCTGGAGGGACCCCGCAGCCACCTGAGGTGCGGAGAAATCTCTCCGGGACCTTGGACCAGCGCCCACCTTCCATTCCAGCTGCCCTTGAGCTGTGTGATTTGAAACACACCTCGCCTCTCTGAACCTCAGTATCTTCATCTCTGTCTTTGAGGTGTTAGGGATTGACTCGGCCAGCTGACCCGGCCGCACCCCAGGCCTGCGCTGTGTTCTCCTCTGAGGCAGGAGGACCCGTTTCCCAGGCTGACCTGGACACCCTCCTTTCTCGCCTCTCGAGGCGCTGTCCTTACAGCTGCGGGCCTCCTCACCTCCTGCTGGCCACTTCAGGGGAGTTTGGAAAATAAAGCAAAGTCTAGGTCCTCCGCAGCCAGCCTAGGGGCTCTGCCTGGGAGGGGACAGCCCCTGAGCTCCCGTGGCCAGCCCCCTGCCGGGGCAGCACGGTGTCCCCTGCCAGCGCCCTGAGCACGCCCCGCCTCTGCCCGGGCCTGGCCCAGGGCACCTGCTGAGCCACCCTCCTTCCTCCCCGGGCAGCTGGGAGGCACCTGCCTGCTGGGCGTGGGCATCTGGGTCATGGTGGACCCCACCGGCTTCCGGGAGGTGGTGGCGGCCAACCCCCTGCTCTTCACCGGGGCCTACGTCCTGCTGGCCATGGGCGGCCTGCTCTTCCTCCTCGGCTTCCTGGGCTGCTGCGGGGCCGTCCGCGAGAACAAGTGTCTGCTGCTGTTTGTGAGTAGCCCTTGGTCACACGTCACCGTGGGTGCTCTGGGGCGGGAGGTGGGCTCCAGGCCACCCGGACCAAGTCCTTCCCACTCCCGGGACCAGGGCCTGGCACCTCCAGCCCCTCTCACTGTGTATCCGACGTCCCGTGACTGGCCCAGAGTCCCCCAGGGAGTTGGTGGCAGGGGGTTCAGGACTGAGACCTCAGGCCCGGGGTCCTGTGCTGGCCAGGTGCCTCCCCCACCCTGTGCCACTGGGGGCTTCTCCCAAGGAGCCAAGCCAGGGCCCCTGACCAGCGCACACCCACCGTGTCCATGCTCCAGGCGCCCGGGGGACTGTCCAGGAACAGGGTGGTCCTCACCTGTGCCCCTCACTTTTGCTGGCCCCCGGAGCCTGCTGTTTGTGCCAGGCCCCTGCCTGCAGTTTGGGCACGCAGCAGCCCCAGTTGGAGAGTGGCCTTGGCCTCTGGGACCAGGAGAACGTCCACGTCATCCAGGATGTTTCTCTCTCTCTCTCTCTCTCTCTCTCTCTCTCTCTCCTTTTTTGGGTACTAGGGATGAAACCCAGAGGTGCTTAACCACCGAGCCATATCCCTGCCCTTTTTTAAAAATGTATATATATGTATCTTATTTTGAGAAGGGGTCTTGCTAAGTTGCTCAGCACCTCACTAAGTTGCTGAGGCTGGCTTTCAACTTGCGATCCTCCTGCCTCAGCCTCCCAGCAGCTGGGATTACAGGCACGTGCCCCTGCGCCCGGCTCATGATGTTTCTCTTTATTTTCTTTCAAAGATTCTAATACATGGCTCCTTAGGAGTCTAGCTATGGAAGCCTTCTTCACCTTTCAGATAACCCAAGCCGAGAATAGATGGCGGGGTTTCTGGAAGGTTCTGATTTGTTAAACAGTCCCATCCTCCTATGATGGTTGTGCAGCCCACTTGGGGCTGAGGATGCGTGGAGGCTGGGGGCGGCATCCCCTCCTTCCTGGCCAGGATGGAAGGCAGCCCATGAGGATGTGCCAGGCAGTCGGCAAGCCTGGGTTTGAGAGCGTGCTCTGCCTGCTCCCGAGCTGTGTGACTCCAGTCTGCCTCCTTACCCTCTCTGAGCCTTAGTGTCTTGCCCAGCTGGAGGCTGGGGCCACAGGGGACAGGCGTGGACGTGGCTCCTCTGGTCCTCCTGACCTCCTCACACTTGGCGCCTTGGGCCCCTGCTCACTTTTCTGGCCTTTGGGTCATGTCGTCCCTCCACTAAGAAATTCCACTGTCCCGGGGGCTAGGAGAGCCTCAGGCTGAGCCCCGCCCTGCTGCAGGTCTCTGCTTGGGGTTTGCGTGTGGCCACTGTGGCTGCTCTCGTGGGCCGCGGGTGACCGATGGGGAGCCGTCAAACCAGGAGCCTGCCAGGTCCCGGGTGAGCCAGCACCAGGTGCTGCCGGAGACAGGCACCGGCTAGTGGCTCCTCCCAGGTCAGAACTGGCCTGCGGTTCACACTCACTGCATGGCGGGGTGCTCCACATCGAGAGAGGTCACCATCTGTGACCTGGGTGACAGGAGCTTTGGGGCCCATTGGTCACCAACCGTGTAAACAGACAAACTGTTCATTTTAAAAAGACAGAAGGTCCGCGAGCGCCCCCTGCAGGAACTTCTCGGCTGCGTCAGCGGGAGCCTGAGAAACTGGCCTCCGGTGTGGGGGGTGGGGTCCTGGGGGCTGCAGAAAGATCCTGGTCTCGTGGGCACTTCCCTCCCTGCACCTCGGCCGGGCTGCCCGCTGTTCACGGGTCGGGACACGAAGCCAGCGGGCTCTCCGTGCCAGCAGGCCCTGCCACTGCCACCATTAAGCTAAATGCTCCCTGCAAACCTTCCAGCAGGTCCGCTCTGCTGGTGCCCAGGGAGAGACTGAGACCCGGGGGCGGGACGGGACCTGCCACTGTCACGCTCCAAGAGGGCAGGTCTTTGCCACCCACTCCTGTCCAGCCCTGCCTCCCCTGTCCTCCAGCTCCTCAGCCTCTCCTGTCCCTCTCTGGAACTCCCTGGCCTCCCGCCCCCTGCTTCCCTCCCTCTCCTCCACCCCCACCAGGCCCAAGGCACATCAGCTGGCCAGTGTGGGTCAGAGGGGGGACACCAGGACCAGGCCTCTGTCCCCGACCTGGGGGGTGCAAAGTTCCCCTGAGACCAGGCAGTGTGGCCAGGGCCTGTGTATGCTTCTCTGTTGTGTTCACACGTGTGTGTGTGTGTGTGTGTGTGCGCGCGCGTGTGTGCGCGTGTGCTGTGGGTACCTGCGCAGGCCTGTGGTGTGCATGCTCCTGGGAGAGGCTCTGCAGCTTCTGGAAGGTTTTCCAGAAGGTTCACGACCTAAAAAATAAAAACCTGAAGAGGGGCACAAGTCTTCACCCCTGGAAGCTTCTGGGGTCTTCTAGAAGCCTTTGATTTCCTCCTGAACCTGCCGGGGGCCCGGCTGGCCTGGAAGGGGCTGTCACTTCAGGACCCTGGCTCGAAGGTCTGCAGCAGGCAGCTGAGCAGCCTGTGCGCCGAGCTGAGCCCCCACAGGGCCTGGGGACAGTCAGCCCAATGAGCAGGCCTCATACAGCCGGCTTCTGTGTGCAGAACAGAACGCTGGTGGCGACAGCTGTGGGCCACAGGACCGTGGCCCCATCATGGGAGCCGTGTGCTATCCCTTTCTCCAAGTTGCCTACCTTGGACGAGCTCGAAGATTATTTTCAGCCCATTTGTTTAAAGATCCTATGGTAAACAATGTATTTTAATAAAAGGCTGCTAAATCGGAAAAGAGAACAGTTGAAAGAAGAGATGAGCGTATTTAAAAGATAAACGAGCTGGGCTGTACGTGAAGCATGTAAGTCTGGTAAATATTTATTAGAAATGAGGACTGAAGCAGACGTCGCCCGTAGGCAGACGGTGAGAAGCTGGGAGATGCCTGCGAGTAGGGAAAACGGCCGTTTCTGTGGGCAAAATCGTTGCTGCCCCTCCCCATCCTGAGCAAAGTGTTGTGAGCCGGGTGTTGGGATCCGGGCACCTGGGTGCTCGGGCCAATGGGATGAGGTCAGAGGAGCTCCAGGCAGATGAGCTAGGGGAGCAGGTCAGGGATCCCCAGATTCCTGGTGGCCGGGCCGTGGGAAGTGGAGGAAGTCCTTCCATGCTGGACAGGAGCCTGCGGAAGTGAAGTTGTCACTGATGAGATGAGAGTGGCCCTGCCCATCCCCCGGGTGACCCATGCCCACACTCATGTTACCCTCCACCCTCTGCCCGGGCCAACCCTGCCCCACCGCGGGAGCAGTGGGAGGGAGGTCTGCCCCCCTTTCCTGGGAGCTGCTCCCCTGGTCCTCAGTGGCCAGATCATTTCCTCTCCTGAGGCTGCAGCTCAGTGCAGACCCCACAAGGCTGGGGAATGTGTCTGCCTTGAAAATTTTGGTTGCCAAGACCCAGCTCAGTGCCTGACCCCGGAGGTGCCCAATAATAGCCCTGGGAAGAAGGTACGGAGAGGAGACACCGTCCTAGGTGTGAGAAAGAACCTGAGCTTGGCTGTGTGTCCTGGGGCTGATTACTTAACCTCTCTCAGATTCCTCCTGTGCAGCATGGGGATAAGCACACCTTCTTCCCATCTGTAGTTTGTGATGGCCTGAGAAGATGTGGGCCTTAGCTCTGCTCCTTGTGTGGGTAGGCACTCGGTAAGTAGGAAATGGAGAGTGGCTGTCTGCCTGGAAGAGGCCCTGCAGACTATTTGCAAGTTTTAAGACCTGGATGTTCATATGGCTTCCAAGATGACGGGAGGTGAAGAGGCAGTTGAAGTCCCCGTGGTACCACTGACCAGCTGTACCAGCCTGGGCAAAGGACTGCTTCTCTCAGAGCCACACCGCCGTCAGTGAAATGGGGGTGCTGCTCTAAGAGCCCCTGTCTCCCGGGATGAGGCGATGCTCCACGGGGCGCCGGTGCCTGGGTAGCGCATGCTCCGTCGGTGGCCGCGACGGCTGTTTTCCGGAGGCGCCGCCAGAGCGCGGAGCTCCCTCCCCTTCCCAGCACGCGTCCCAGCGCCGGCTCGGTCCTGCGGGTGTGGGCGCAGAGCGCTTCCCCGGGATCATCTGGTCCAAGCTCAGCGAAGGCGTCGCGCGCGCAGGGGGCCGAGGGAGGAGCGCAGGGCGTGCGACCCGCCTCCTCGGTGACTTAGAGCTCCGTCGGCCACCGCTGGGAGCGTCACGGAGCATGGACACCTTTGCCAGCCCTTTGCCGGCCCCAGGACCTGCCAACAGCCAGAAGCGGACAGAGGGCGGAGAGGCCCTGCAGAGGCGGCGCGATTCAGAGCCGGGTGACCATCCCAAGGCCAGTGCCAGGACCCTGGCCAGGCGCCGCCATCACTGTCACCGGGAGGAGGGCTGCAGAGGCAGGGGACCCGCACTCAGTGGCCACCCGACCCAAGAGCTGTCCACACTTGGAGGAGTTGGTGGCCACAGAATGGCAGGGCACCAGGAGGCCTTCCCGTGAGGGAGCTCCGCTACTTGAAATTAGCCCTCCCTGGCCCCAACTTTCAGGGAGTGCCGGAGCGCTATGGGGTCACCTGAGGTGCCAGGCAGGCCACATGGCTGATGGAGCCAGGTCACCCTTCGACCTGTGGGGCCATCCCTGAGCTGCCGCCTCAGCAGAGCAGAGGAGCAGGACACACGCTGCAGAGAGCCAGTCGGCGAGGAAAGCTGCTCAGATGTCCCGAGCTCACCCACTGGGCCAGCCGGTCCCCTCCTCCAGCGCTGGGGCAGCCGTCCGGCCCTGCGGCGGTCACTCGGCTTTCATGACACGCAACACCTGTACTGTCCCTATGTCTTCACCCGGCCCCAGCCCCAGGAAGTGGGGTGATCAGCCCACTTTATGGATGAGAAGACTGAGACTCAAAGAGGTTTGAATGACTGTCCCCAGTCGCACAGACTGGGACAGACACCTGTGATGTCCTGACCTGAGCCCAGGACCCCTGGCCTCTGTCCATCCAGGATGTCCAGCGCATGCAATGCTGAGGGCTTGGGGTGCCACCGAGGTGTCCGTGACAGTGTGCAAGAGCCAGTCTTGGGCACATCAGGGGTTTAGTCCTGCGTGGGAGCTTCCTGATGTGGTGACAGTGGCCCTTGAAAGCACCAAGGCTCCAGTCCTGCCGAGGACCGAAGGCAGGCTCTTCCTTTCTTCTGCCAGCAGCCCTCAGCCCACAGCAGTGCCCAGGAGGACCAGGATTGAGAGGCAGCAGGAGGCAAGGGCCGTTCACTCCTGGACTCACTCATCCACCTGACAGCTGCCGGCCGGCGGGGCACCTTCCTTGGGCACTGAGCGCGGGGCAGCCCAGGGCAGGAAGGGCGCCCCCTGCTGACCTAGTGGAGAAAGGGGGCGGGGCTTGCCCTGGAGTGGCAGGCAAGGAGGGCGGGGCTTTCCTGGCAGAGGCAGCCCCTCCTCCAGGTCCTTAAAACCAGAGGCACCCAGGCTAACCTGGGAAACAGCCGGAAATTCGGGGAGCGGAGCAGTTATATATCCAGCTCCCGGCCCTGGGGTTCAGATTCTGATATTCACAACACCTGGCCTCTGATCTTGCTTGTTACTTTCGCTGAAGATCCAGGAGACCTGCTTACCGCCCACGGGAACCAGAGGTGGGTGGCAGGAAAGGTGCCTGGGGTGACGGTGGGGAAAACCAGCCTGGGATGCCCCAGTGTCGGTGTTCCCAAGCTTGGACACTCTGCCTGGAGGGAGCCCGAATAGGGCTCCGCAGCAGCCTCCTCCCTGGGTAGGGTTGTTCAGCTCGTGCACTGCACAAAGGGACCTTCCTAAGGGGCACCATTTGCATTATTTATTTTTCACATTTTTATTACAACTTTGTTGATTCCAAAGATGGGCCATTGGTATCTTTAAGACAACTGTCAACTTATGGCAGTGCCGTTGCTGAGTCTTGCATGTTTAGCGCACCAGGTCAGTTTCGCAGCCGACCGGCAGGGCCTCACTGAGCGGCCACTCTGTCCCCTCCGGTCCGTGCCGAGGTCTCAGAGCCCGCCCCCTGTCCCTGCAGTTCTTCCTGTTCATCCTGATCATCTTCCTGGCGGAGCTCTCGGCGGCGGTCCTGGCCTTCATCTTCAGGGAAAACGTAGGTACCGGGCCTCAAGCCACCTGCTACCCACCAAAGGCTGGCGGCCACTCAGGGCCAGCCCGTCCTCCTCAGAGGGCCTCACAGAGCCGCGGCCTCTCATCCCGGGCTCCAGCCCCACCATGACCTGGACCCCCAGCGCGGAGGGAGGCCCCAGGGGCTCTTCCTAACGTTTCCGGAAGCTCACAGTGTCCTGCACTCCCAAGGCACCTGGTGCCAGCCAGGCCTGACCCTGGAGCCCTCCCTCCCGCCCACCCAGAGGTGGCCTGTGACGGTTGCCACACAGTCTGAGGAGGTGGGTGGTCATGCCTGAGCCCGGGCAGGTGCTGGGTGGCGCCCTGGCTGAGCCGGGATGCTGTCCTCTGGGCGCTGTGCCCCTGGGGGCCTGGTTTTCCCAGAGGCCCCAACGGCCAGGTATCGGCTCCCGCCCTGAGTCTCTGGCTCCTCAGCAGAGGGACCTGGGCACAGAAGGGGAGGGGGAGCGGGGACGGGCAGAGGCACAGCTGGCCCTGGGGGAGGAGGCCCAGAGGGGCCAGGAGGCAGCAGCCTGAGGCAGAAGCGTGCCCAGGGGCCTCTGCTGGGCAGCAGGTGGTGGTCGGCGACCTCAGGGAACAAGAGACACTTCCAAGGAGCAGCTCGGGTGGGAGGTGGGGGGTGCAGCCCAGAGCCTGGGGGGCCATAAGCCCTCTGTTGGGGTGACTTCGCGGCTGAGCGAGGCTGGCAGGGTGCCCAGCTCCGGGGGTGCCCAGCTCCGCGGGTGCCGGGACGCTTGTCACACCAGGGAGCGGGTGACCACGAGGGGGGCCACAGCCCGGGGACGTGGTGAGGCCTGCCCCGCTCTCTCCCCACCCAGCAGCAGAGGGGGACGGGGGCGGCGGTGTCCCCAGCGCAGCTCAGGCCCTCTCCCCCCCCAGCTCACGCGGGAGTTCTTCACCAAGGAGCTCACCAAGCACTACCAGGGCGACAACGACACGGACGTCTTCTCCGCCACCTGGAACTCGGTCATGATCACCGTGAGTGCCCCTGCCCGGGGCGGGGCGCGGGGTCGGAGTCCTTCTGTCCACGTGCCTGGCTGGACGTCACCCATGGGTGACAGCACTGCCCCACCGAGCGCAGCCCAGACTGGGCGGGAGGCCTGTTTGCCCCTGTGGGCGTGGACCCAGCATGACACGGCCACTGTGCATTGAGCACTTACTAGGTGCTGGGAGGCTGAATGGTCACTGCCACCCACTGTACAGACAGGACACGGGAGGCTCGGGGAGACCGAGTGGCCTTCCCACAGTCACACCGGACAGAGAGCCAGGCCACCCCCAGTCCTTCTGGCCCCTCTTCTGGGAGCCTGCCGGTCCTCTGTCCCCGGCTCTGGCTCCTGTCCAATCCGCCTGCTCGCTGTCCTCCCAGTTTGGCTGCTGTGGAGTCAACGGGCCTGAAGACTTCAAATTCGCATCAATTTACCAAATGCTGGCCCAAGACCGCGAGGAGGTGCCCGAGGCCTGCTGCCGGCGGGAGCCCCAGGGGCGGAAAGGGGTCCTGCTCAACAGGGAGGAGTGCGTCTCGGGGAGGAGCCTGTTCATCAACACGCAGGTACCGCCCTGGGCCGCGGAGCTGGCTGAGGGGAGAGACAGGAGGGAGAGGAGCGTGGCCGAGGCTGGCGTGGGCATCGGGGTTGGGGTTCAGGGGTGCGTAGGAGTCTTCCCATGTTTCTTGAGCTTGGTTTTGAAAGTTCAGGTCAGGGGAGGGGACAGACCACAACTTCCCAGTGGGAATCTTCTTAGCCATGCACTCTATTCCAGAGAAAGCTCACGTTTGTCACGTGGGAGCACCCCATGGTTCCCAGGGAGTAACTTGACTGTCCAAGGTCAGGAAAACTTCTAGACTTCTCTAGCAACCTGAAGCCCTTTCCCTTTCCCCATGTGTTGTGCTGGGGAAACAGGGCTCCAGGTTTGCCCCTTCCATGAGAAACAAAATGCCCTTGCCCGTCCATGTGAGTCAGCTTTACGTTGCTGTGACAAAATGACTGAGAACTATCAGGTTAAAGAGGAAAGGTTTCCATTTGCGGTTGGCTGGCTCCATTGCTGTGGTGAAGCAGCCCATGGTGGGAGGAGTGTGTGGGGAGCAGAGCTGCCCCCCTCATGGGAGCTGGGGAGCAAACAGAGAGCAGCTGTTATAACAAAGCCCCTCCCCCAAGCCCAGTCCACTATGAACCCATAAATGGATTAATCCACCCATCCTCATGATTTGGTCCCTTCCCCAACCCCACCTCTGAGCATGGCTGCGTGGGCGTCCTCCACACATGAGCTTTGGGGGTGTTTCAGATCCAAACTCTAACACCTCTGCCCCGGCCTCGTACATGCACGAGGTCAGTCTGGGCAGGGGGACAGGAGGGGCCGAGGGGAGCTGGGCCACCCACGCCTGTCCCTCGTGGACTGAGGCTCTCCTGGGAGAGCTCTGGGGCCCCAGAGCCAGCAGGGCCAGGAAGCCAGGCCCTGGTCCCCGGGGGGCCCCTGGTCTGGTTAGCGGAAGCCCAGGTCGGACGAGGTTCAAACAGCACAAAGGAACAGTGTGGCAGGTGACGATGGCCGTGACACAGGGAAAGCCAGGTGGGGGCTGCAGTGGGGTCCCAGAGGAGGACACTGTGGTGCAGGAGCCAGAGCCCCGAGGCGAGGAGCCTCTACAGCCTCTGCAGGGGCCCAGCACCTCTCCCCTGCACGCCCCCCTGGGTGCAGGACCCGGGAGCCTCCGGGAGCCTCCCTTTGCCCCACACAGCCCTGCCTTCCTACGCTGGGGAAAAGGGACAAAGAAAGAATGAGGACCCTGGGATCAGGCCACCAGGAGTCTGGGGCAGCCCGGGCCGCCCTGGGATTTAGGTCCCCAGAGACCTGCATGGGTCAGCCACAGGAGGTGGGGTCCTGCTTCCACCTCAGGCCTCCAGGTCGAGGCCCAGCCTCCCAGCTTCCCCTGCAGCCAGGCCACAGAGTTCTAGCCAACAGGAGGTGACAGAGGTGGTGCGGCAGTCTGAGTCTCATCCTGAGAGAAAGCACCGTGTCCGCCCCCGGGGCGGCAGAGCATCCAGAGGGGAGGAGCCCGGGCCACTGACAGGCTGCAGAGCGGAGCAGTCTCCCTAGTTCAGGGTCTGGAGTGGCCGGTTCTCTGTGCTCTGAAGGAGCCTGGGCTGTGGGGGCTCGTGGCCAGACTGACCTCCTTCCAGGGCCGCGAGCTCCTTCTCAGGAGGCTGCCCGCGGCCCGTTCCTTCAGGGCGTCAGCGACCGGCTTCTGGACTGTTGAGACCCCACCACCCACCAGGAGGCCAGTCACCTCCTGGCAGGGTGCAGCGTGGGTGACATGGTCCCAAGGGTCTCAAAGGCCAACCCACCTGCTGGGCTCACTGCAAGGCCCAGGGGTCTTTGGGGATAATCCTGAGGGGCAGGGCGGCCGCCAGGCCCCAGGGGTCACCAGCAGGGCCTGGGTCCCCCGCCCCTTGCCAGCCGCCCGGGGAAGCCTGGGAATGCCGGTTCCAAGCTGGAGAAGGGAGCTGCTGTGTCTCCGTCCCCTGGTGCTGGGTGTGCGCGTGCGTGGTGTGTGACGGATTGTCCCCCAGGCACATGGGGGCACCCACACCGGCTTTGCTCACTTTCCCCGATCGGGGCACGCTTAGAGGGAGGCCACTCGCAGCAGGGACCGAAAGCACCTGCCACCCGCCACCCGTTCCAAGCGGAGCCCTGGGAGGAAGCGCATCCAAATGCCCCGTTTTACAGACGGGCACCTGAGGCCCAGAGAGGCTGAGTGAGCAGCCAGACCTGCCCAGCCGGCCAGTGGTGGGCTGGGCTGTGACCCAGGCAGGCGGGTCCCAGGCCATGTGTGGAACTGTCACCTGCCACGGCTCCCCTGGCCACGGCTGCCTCCTGTCTGCGCAGCCCCCTTGAAGCACCTCACAGACCCCGAGTGTGCTGGGGCGGAGGCGCCCTGGCTGTCCCTGGTGGGCAGGTGGCCCGCAGCAGGCCCTCCCAGGGCTGATCCCAAGACAGCCGCCTCCCCGTCCCCCTCCCCGGAGCAGGGCTGTGTCTTGCATTTTGGGTTCAACACTGTGGCCTCTGGGGCTTTCCAAAGGGCAGACAGAGATTTCAGGTGGAACCCCGCAGGGGACAGCGGGAGACCAGGGCAGCCCCGGGGCCTGGCGGGGGACTGGGGCTCCTGCTAGCCCCAGAGGGACCGCAGCCACACTGTTCCTGACCAACTGGCCTGGGGTAGGCCCCTGGGCTCCTCTGGGCTCTGTCCCGGTCGCACAGCCTGTGGCTAGGCCCCAGGTGGCACTGCCCAGACAGGTCCAGGTGGAGAGATGCCCTCTGCTGGCTCCCGTCTCTGGAGGCTTCTGCCTCAGAGCCTGGCTGTGTCCCGCACTCTGCCACCTCCCCAGGGCATCTGCGGGGCTGAGTGCCTCCAGGCGAGGTTCCGAGGCCCAGGGACCCACCAGCACCGAGGACCAGGCCACTATGCGGGTGGCCTGTTCATACCTGGGGTCCAGGGGGGCGGGGGCCTCCACTGCCCAGCTCCTGGTCAGCCTCCGCCAGGCAGGGCAGGTCCCTTGCCACTCCTCCCACCCCAGGCCCCGCTGTTGGCTCCACGTCCACCTGGGCGGGTGTCCCCAGGTGAGGAAGGAGCGCCGTTTTGAAGGCTGCGTTTCCTTGGGGTGAAATCTAAAATCCAGGAATCCCCCTGCAGCCAGCCAGGCAGGTAATGAGGATGGGTGTGGGACAATAGGGACCCTGGGGGACCGAGGCCTCCAGGGAGCACGGGTCCCATTGATGGAGCAGCCGCTGGTAGGGCCACACCAGCACGGCTCGCCATGCTGGGCCTTCTGATTTCTCAAGAGCCGCAGGAGCGTGGACACCAAGGGCAGTGCCCAGCCTTCCAGAGGCCTGGGCTGCTGGTTTTCAGCCCCGCCCTGGGGGCTGGTGGCCGGGGACCTCGGGTGCTGCCAGGTCTCCCTCGTCCCACCTCCTCCACCCGCCGTCTGGCCCAGCCCTGGGGCCACGCGCCATGACCCAGTGCTGACGCTGGCCGGGGCCCATACTGTCCCTCCGGCGGTGGCTTCACCTCTGACCCTTCCCCCCAGGGCTGCTACGCGGTGATCCTCAACACCTTCGAGACCTACGTCTACCTGGCGGGGGCGCTCGCCATCGGGGTCCTGGCCATCGAGGTAAGTGAAGGCCCTCCCCAGGGGCCAGGCAGAGCCGGGGCGCACCCTCCGCCTCCCTGGGATCCTTGCCTGGGGGATCCCCGAGTGCGCGGAGGGGCGGTGGGGGGGGGCCGCCCAGGCTGAGAGTCAGCCTTGGGCTATGGAGGTGACACTTCTGAGCCAGTCTCTGGGCAGTGGGACTGGGTGGCACTGTCACCCCCTCCAGGGGGCAGGGTGTGTGTTTTGGGTGCTGTCTTCCAGGAGTGGGATTGAGCCAAGGTCCCCAGGGCACACTGTGGAAGGCGACAGTGTCGCTGCTTCGGGGGACCAGCTGCAGCCTGTGGTTGGGGACCAGGCCCTTCCTAGGCGGGGCGGGGGATGTCCAGAGCCTGCTGGCCTGAGCCCGGTTACCCCCAAGCCCCAGACGGGAGCGCTGCAGGCCTTGAGCCACCACTAGGTGGCGCCCGGCCAGAGTCCAGCTCCTGGCTCTGCTTGTCCTAGACCAGGTCCCCGGGGCCAGTTTCCTCATCTGCCCCTCCCACAGTGTGAGGGCGTCAGGTGACAGGGACAGCACATCTGGGGTGGTGCAGGGACTCCGGGTGGGAGCCACACATGATGGGCACCCCACTCCCTGCCCAGCCCCCGGGCCCCCATGACCATGACCCTGGCGGGCAGTGCCTCTCACCGGTGGCCGTGAGCTGTGGTCGAGGGCCTGTTCCCCTCTGGGCGTGGGGACCGCAGCAGCTCTGATCCCAGCAGCGTCCCTGCGTCAGGCCTCTGCCTCTCCCACCAGCCCAGGCCCTGACGTGTTCAGCGCTGTGCTCCTAACCCTGGGGAGGGCCAGAGCTGCCTGGCCTCTTTTTTTTGGGGGGGGGGTGCCAGGGATTGAAGTTGGGGGCACTCGACCACTGAGCCCTACCCCCTGCCCTATTTTGTGTTCTATGAAGAGACAGGGTCTCCCTGGGTTGCTTAGCGCCTTGCTGTGGCGGAGGCTGGCTTTGAACCCGCGATCCTCCCCAGCTGCTGGGATGACAGGTGTGCACCCCGCACCCAGCTTGCCTTGCCCCTGAATAATAGACGAGGAGCTTTTACTGGGCATCTACTAGAGGACAGGCTGCAGGACGTGGTCAGCTAACTGCCTTCCACCCTCTCCCTCTGCCCTCTGTGAGCCGCAGGCAGAGAGTGCAGGGTCCTGGGCATGGCCCCTGGGCCGGGATGCCTGGACGCCAACCTGGCTCCCCGTTTGTAGCTGTGAGACCTGAGGCAGATTATGTGACCTCTCTGTGCTTCCTGGGAAACACTAGAGCTGTGCCTGGCCCGTGCTGAGCTGTGGTGCCACTCAGGCCCAGAGCAGGTGACCCAAAGCCACCACTGATAAGTGGGCACCTGGGTCTGAACCCATGAGTTAGTTTCCAAAGTCGCCCTCCCCAGGTGACTGTCCCAGGAGAACATCCGGGGACCCCTGCAGAAGAGCACCCCGAGGCAGATGGGCCGACCCCTGGGCTGGGCTGGGCTGGGCGCCCCTTGGCCCTGGGCGCAGCCGGCCGACAGGTCGCTTTCCTCCTCGCAGCTTTCCGTCATGATCTTCGCCATGTGCCTCTTCCGGGGCATCCAGTAGGGGGCGTGGCCTGAGGACTGGCCCCGCCCACCACGCCCAGCACCTGTGCCCCTCCGGGTGCCCCTGGCCCCAGGGCGGAGACGAGGCCCTCGTGGGCGGCCGGACGGGCCGGGAGCGCACAGCTATTTTTTTAACAAGATGAAGACAGAAATGGGGACGGACGCGCCCTCGCCTGGGCTGGGACCCCGCGCCTGACCCGGGATGCAGCCAGGCCAGGCCTGTCCCCACAGCTTAGCGACCTGGTGCCAAGGAAATGAGGCCACAAGAAGACACTGACAAAGCCCCAGAGCCCCCAGGAGACTCGGTGGCCTCACCCTCGGGGGCTCGCAACCTGGAGGGCAGTCCCTGCACTGCCAGGGGACAGAGCTGTGTCCGGGAGTGGCCCCGCTGGCAGTCCCTCCTGTCCCCATCTGTGGGACCCAATCACATGTGAGGCCCAGAGAGGGACTGTGGGCTGTGGCGTCACACAGCACATGTGTGGTGGTGCTGAACAAGAACCTGGCTCCTCTCTGAGGTGCGTCTCTCCATCCCGGACACCGTGGGATCCGCGGCTCACATACCCTCTGGCCTCAGGATCCTGGTTTCCCAGGAAAGACGGGACCAGCTGCCCAGGAAATGCCCCCTCCCGGCTCTGCAGCTAAGAAGTCGATCGCTGTCCCCCTTTCCCTCACCTCCCACTTCTCCACCAGCCCCCTGCCATGGACGCACAGCCCTTCCCCTGGGGCACACTGCCCACCTCTCCCCACCGGCTCCTCCTCCCTGTCCATCCCCAACTCCCTGGCCCCAGGATGAAAGAAACCCCCCAAATCTTCTGGTTCTCCCTGTTCCCACCCAGAATGGAGGCTTGGGTATGTTCTGCCAGACTCCTGCCAAGAATTCTCCACCCTCTTCTTGCATACCTCCAGGGACGGGGAGCTCACTACCTCCCCAGGCAGCTTTTGCACTGCTCCCACCCCAGTCAGCTCGACAGACAGAACAGGCTTCTGCTTTCCTCTGGTTCCGTCTGTGCGTCCCACTTGCTCCTTGCCTTTCCTGAGGGTCAAGGTCACACACTGGCTCCCAGAAGCCCTCTTGTCTGTAGGTAAAGAGCCCCTCAGGCATCTCAGCCATTTCTGCTGCCACACAGTGTCCCGTCCTTCCATTGTCCACGTGATACTTCTGTGTCCCCTCCAGATCTCCCCACAGACCCACAGATTCCCACCCACACAACCCCACCACTGCACAGGCCTCACACTCCGAATCAGTGTTGGCAAGTAGATAGCAAGACGCCTGGCCAGCCCCAGCCCAGCCTCGCCTGAGACTGGGCCAGGGCCAGGGGCCTGCCTGCTCTGGACCTGCCCAGCCCTCAGCCCCAGCTTCCCGGAAGGCAGACGGCTGGCCCGGGTTGACCAGAAACCCCACGTCTAGGCTGGGCAGCCCGGGTCCAGGGGCACCCCAAGCCTCCAGGGCCCAGAAGAGTGAGGGTGTCGGTGAAGGGCAGACCAGGGGGCATGTGGCCCAGAGTGGCTCTGAGACGAGGGCTTTCTGTAAAAGTGCCGAGGAGCCTGTCCGCCCCCACACGACTCCCTGCCCTCTGCACCTCTGAGCCTGAAGGGGACACAGGGTTTGTCCCTGTGGCACCTGCTCAGGCTGGCAGCAATCTGCAAGGTCCCCTGAAGTCACAGCCCCCGGGGCAAGAGCTCTGGCACCAAGGGCCCTGTGGGTGTGGCCCAGCTGCCCAGCCTGATCTGCGGGCAGGGTCAGGCCGTCGCGGCTCCTCCAGAACAGCCCAGCTGAGACTGTCCCCGACTGAGCCAACAGCAGGGTGGCCCCTGCCCGTGCCGAGCCACTGCCTCCCAGAGGGGGGCTCGGCCTCCCCACCCTTGTGGTGCCCAGCCTTCGGGGGCCAAGGGGCCCAGACCCGACGGCCCCAACCAGCCAGGGTGGTGGCCGCCCTCTGCCCAGCAGCCCCCGTCCCTTGCTCTGTGGGTCGCATGTTGAAGGTCTGTTTTGAGATCCGCCACTGTCCCACCGTCCCCCGCTGCTGGAGCTGCAGAGCTGTCACCATCCCCCATGAGCCCCTTTTGTGCCGCGCCTCAGGAGGAGTTTGTGACAGAGAACAGGACGCCACGGAGGGTTTTGCACTGGTTTTTGTGACTGTTTCTTACAAAAAGAAAAAGGAACAAAGAATAAATAGTGACCGTGAACAACGGGGGTGACTCGGGGGGCCTGGGCCGGGCTGGAGTGGCGGGGGCTGCGGGCAGGGGCGGCCGGGCACCCCCAGCTCGAAGGCAGAGGCCCCCGGCTTCCCTCCTGAGACCCGGGGCCCCACCCCTGCCCTGTCATGGCCTCCTTCCCAGCCACACGTCATCCCCGTCTTCATGTCCCCCCAACCTGCTGCCCCCAAGCCACACAGACCTCCTGTGGGCCGTGCCCTCGCCCGGCTACCCAGGCTCAGCGCGATGTGTGACCCGGGCCGTGTGACCCTCCATGTCACCCCCAGGGCAAGGCCAGCTGCCCTCTGCACCCCGCAGCCCAGTGTCTCTGACCGGTGGCCCCCACCACGCAGATGCCACCGCGGCCTGACCGCAGCGAGGGCTTGGGCCTCCCCAGAGGGATGGGACCCACATGTCCAGCAGCTCTGGGGAGGACAGGCCAGCGGTCACCACTGGGATCAGCTGGGTCTTCAAAGGTCCACGCAGACAGGGCCGAGCTCCGCTGCGGGCGGGGGCACCTTCCCTGGGCGGCAGCGGCTCCCAGGCCCAGGCCCAGGCTCCAGGCTCAGCGCAGGAGGTGGGAGACCCAAGGGCCAGGGCCAGGAGCGGGTGCCCACTCAGAGCGCCCTCCCACACCGCCAGGCCATGGCGACCAGCAGCACAGCCCGGCCACCAGCAGGCCCTCTCCCCAGCTACGTAACCCGGTACAGCCACCGCTCTGCTGGACACAGGCCACCGGGACGCTAGGCACAGACTGGGCAGGGGAGGGTCCCCAGGCAGAGGGGCACCTGCAACCATCTCTGTGGCAGCAGCTGGGCTGACCGCACCTGCAGGCCACCTCACCTACTGCCAACCCTGCTGTCCCCAGAAGGGAGGCAGGCCAGCCCGGGGCTGGGGCTCTGCACACCTGTCCCTGGGACACTGCCCCACCCCTCAGGCAGCCTGGGTGCTGCAGGGAGGCAGCGCTGGGGGGCGAGGACGGTGGAACCAGACCAGGCCCTACAGCGCCAGGGGCCACCGACAGCCGTCTCCAGGGCGACTCGGGAGGAGGGGGAGGTGACAGGAGGCTGGGAAGCTTCTACCTACTGCCCCTGCAGAGCCTGAGGGGCACCGAGCCCACCCAGCCACGCTAGGGGCAGCCAGGGGCCAGGCAGCAGCACCCTGGGGAAGGAGTGGGGGACAAGGGGCTGGGACAGGGGGACACGCCAAAGGACAAGGAGATACCAAGTGTTTTCTTCCTCATATCTAAGCCCACAGCTTACAAGTCCGTGTGTCCATCTGTGTGCAGAGGACATGGGCAGAGTGCCCAGAGCAAGGCCCCCGAGACCCAGGTGGACAGGCCTGGGGAGGGGCCAGAGCGTCCAGCGGCAGGTGGCCCATCCTCGCAGAAAGCTCAGCTCAGAGAAAGCCCCCCTGGCCCTCGGCGGGGCTGCGGAGGGGCTGCGTGCTCAGGTGCGGGGGCCCGTGTGCGGAGGGCCCGGACTGAGGCACACTGGCCAGGGTCAAGTCCTCAGGTTCTCCAGGCAGAGAGAGAAGTCGGGTTCAGCTGCTCGGGCCCTGGATGGGTGGGGTCAGGGGGTGGCAGCCCACAGCCTCTCCCTCGGGAGGGGGGCTTCCCCCGGGAGGAGCCCACTCAGCCCTCGCTGCTGTGACCACGATCCTCAGCCGGTGCCTGTCGAGGGGACCTGGGGTCAGGAGTGCCCAGGGAAGGAGGTGCTACTGTGTGCGGTGAGGACTGGGGCACACAGGCCCCATCCCCCCCAAGCTGGCATGTCAAACCCAAAGGCCAGAGGTCACCACGTCTGGGGACTTCCGGGAGAGAAGGAAGGCTGCCTGGGGTGGCTGGGTAGGAGCAGGGGCCCCTCCTGCCTCCCCGGAGCCAAAGGGGACGCAGCCCCACGGCCACCCTGGCCAGGCCCGCAGCTCCCCGGCCGGCTAGACCTTCTTGGGTTTCCGGCCGACTTGGTAGTAGTAGTAGATGCTGATGACCACGAAGAGCAGGCGGCTGGCCAGGAGCAGCAGGATCCCCAGGGACATGAGGCCCGTCTCGGCCAGCGTGGCAGTGACCACTGAGGGAGGAAGGCCAGGGAGGGGTCAGAGGTCAGGGGGAGGATGTGTCCCCCTGCACACAGGACTCCGGACTGAGCCAGCTCTGTGCCCGGGGTCCTGCGCCACCGTCCCCTCCTTCCTCCCCCCAGGCAGGTGCCCTTGCTTTCCTGCCAGCCCCAGAGCTGCCCCCCCCGCCTCCCGCGCCTCCCACACTGTGCACCTCGACACTCACCCAAGAACTGCACCCCGAAGTAGCAGGCCTCGGTGAGCAGGGTCCACCGAATGATGACCTTCTCCGCCGTGTAGAGGGCATTCCACATGATCAGGGAGATGCCTGGACGGGGACAGGGAGCATGGGGGTGGGGACAGCCTGATGTACCTGCCCCGGGGGCCGGTAGAGGCCTGCTCCTCCTACCCGGGCCCCCTGCAGACGGCCAGTCCCAGAGGTCCCCACCCCAGCCCTGCTCACTCGCAGGTCGAAACCCATCTGTGCCCAGCCGTGCCCTCTGGGTCCAGATCTGCTCATGCCCTCTCCAAGGCCCTGAGGGACACTGAGCCAACACTGTCCCCTGCTGGGACTCAGCCTTCAACTGCGAATGGGAGGGGAGCTCCAGGCCTGGTCCGCGTCTCCCTCAGTCCTGCGTTGACGAGTCCGCTCCTGCCGCCCTGGGCCCTCATGTGCTCTGCACCCCCAGCTCCCACCGGAGCCCCCTCTGTACGAAGGTGGAGCCGCCCCGCCCCCACACTCCCCCTCAGGCCCCCTTCAGGGACACGGTGGCTTCTGAAACTGGGGAGTGGGCACCATCAGCTGTGGCTGGAGCCCAGGGCCCCTGGCAGGATGGGGGGAGGCAGATAGAGGGGGCCGGCTGGACCCACCTGGAGGACCCTGAATGCCAGGCAGAGTCGCCAGGGCTTTATTCTGCAGGCAATAGGGAGCCATAGCATATTTTAGGGAACGGAGGGACACCACCGACGCCGAGCTTGGAAAACTGCGGTTCACCTTCCTAAGGGCCAGCCAGCCGCAGTGAGCGGCTCAGATCAGAGGAAGCAGAGCAGTTCCTGTCTCCACATCCCAGTGCCCAGGGGGCCGCCGGGCAGACACCAATCCTGGCGCATCCCACCCGTGGCCACAAGATGGCAGCACACACCAGCAGACGCACACAGGCTGGGCAGCTGCTGCAGCCAGCGAGGGAAGAAGGGCCCCCAGTGCAGGGGAAGGTCCCCTGGGGTTCCCTCAGCCCAGTGGGTCTCACCTCCCACCCCCCGGAATACTCACTGAGGAGGGCGCCACCGTAGAGGCGGATGGGGGTCTTGCTCGTGACCTGGGCTCCATCAAAGACGGCATCATAGAGCTGGTCAGGGAAGGCCAGGGCCTGTGGACAGCGGGGGTGCCCAAGGTCAGGCTCAGGGCTGGCGTGTACTCCCTGGACGGGGGCCAGTGTCCTCGGGGCAGATCAGGGTCAGGACACGACTGCCCCACCCTCCGCAGGACGGGAGGGAGGCTCTGGGGCTCCCAGGGCAAGGAGCTGGGCTGCAGCCCATGGAACGGGGTGGGGACAGGTGGGGACAGGCCTGGGGACACACCAGAATGCCCTCCCAGGGGCCAGCATGATGGCAGCATGGGGACAGGCTGCCAGGGGCTGGCAGGAGGAGCCCCGGGAGGGCGGGAGGAGGCCGGGAGCCACACCCAGGGCCCGAGTCTAGTTCTGGGTCCTGGGTCCGGTCAGCGGGGAGGCTGGGGACCTGCTCTGCCAGAGGCCAGGTGGCAGGGGGACCGGGGGGGGGGGGAGCAGGGGACTCACCATGATGGCAATGCCGGAGAAGAGCACAGCAGAGACAAACTGCCAAACCCTGGAGACAGGAGAGCAAGGTCACAGCCGGAGCCCCAAGGTCAGCCCGGGCAGACCCCAGGGGACTCCCCTTTCCAGCCCAGATGCCCAGTATGGCTGGGTGAGGGGACAGGCCACGCGATGGGATGGAACAGGGACAGGAAGGCGCAGGGCCAAGGCCACCCAAGGGGGTCTTCCACACTCCCCGACACACAGACCCCGTCCCCACAAACGACACTCGGGGCTGACGCTCACCTGAGCCCCAGAGGCTCGCGGACAGCAAACTTGATCTCATTGCCCAGGACCTGGCTGATCTGTGGACACAGGGAGGGGTGGGGGGACAGCTCTCAGCACCGCAGCTACGGGTCTTCCTCCCGGGGCCCGGGCACACTCAGGAGCCCACCTCTGCTTGGCAAAAGGCTCCCCCAGAGCTGGGCGGCTCACACTGAGGCCGCCTCCCCCCACACTGCCTTGGCACTGGGTTTAAAAGAGGTTGAAAGTAAAGGGGTAGGAAGGGAGGCTCAGCTGGCATCCCAGCGAACCAGGAGGCTGAGGCAGGAGGATCGCAAGTTCAAGGCCAGCCTCATCGACTTGGTGAGACCCTCTCAAAACAAAAAGTTTAGTAAGACCCCCTCAAAATAAAAAGTAAAGAATAAAGCACCCCTAGATTCAATCCCCAGTACCCCAACAAACAAAATAAAAACTTAAAAAGGAGGCTCCTGCCACTCATGGCTGTGGCCTCAAGAAAGTGGCTCACCGTCTCTGGGCCTGGGTCTCTTACCCACAAAGTGGGGGCTACCTGACTCCACCAGCAGGGGCGCCACCCATGCCACTCTGACCCCAGCAAACCGCCCTCGCTGTGGTCACTAGTCCTGCCACCTCCCTGATGCCTCTGACTGGACCGGGCCCCAGTCTCCTGCCCTCCTGGGCCTCCCCTGCCCGGGGCGGGCGCTCAGCGGAGGGCGGGCGCTGGCCCACCTTGGAGCGGTGCACCTCGCCGTCGTCGTCCTCCCCGCCCACGCCCAGGATCTTGCGGGTCTTCAGGCGGCTCACGAGGTCCGTCTGGCTGTGCTTCTTCATGAGGGGTGGGGGCTGCTTGGCCGCCATGGTGCCCTGGAGCCCGGCTTCTGCAGGGGGGCTGCGGGGGGCTGCGGGAGACAGTGGCCTCAGGCCTGGGCGCCCGCGCAGCTTGGATTGGAGAGGCGGGGGCACGGCGCCCCCGGGCCCGGGAGCTGACCCGCAGGCGGCCTCGGCGGCCTGTCTGTCCAGTGGGTGCCGGGCGCTGCTCAGGCCGCCTCTGCCAGCTCGTCGGACCCGAGTGGCCACGGCAGCCCACGGGGGAGGGCTGGGCCGGGGGAAGGGAGGCAGGCCGGGGGAGCCACTGTCCTGGCCTGGGCCAGGAGGTCAAACAAGGCTCCAAGGAGGGGACACGTGCCCAACCCGGGAGGGTTTCTGAGTCCCTGGGTCCAGGGCCATGCTCACTGCCCAGGCGATCCTGCCACACAGCTAGCCTGGTCCCCAGCCTCCAGACAACCTCCTGACACCCCAGGACCCGAGGGGGGGAGGGGCGTCCGTCCAGGGGGCACCTTACAGTCAGGGGAAAGGTTGGCAGGTGTCCTGCCCAGGCCTTGCCCCCCCAACACCCCCCACCCCTGTCACCCCACAGCTCCCACAATCCCCCACCCCTCCAATCCCAGCCACCTGCGGCTGGTCTTGACCACCTACTGTGAGCCCGGGCTGGGCTGGGCGCTGGAGGTCAGGGCTGGGCTGCTGGGGTCCTGTCGGCCGCTGGCACCGTCTACACAGGAGACAGGAGTGTCGTGAGCAAAGGGCAAAGCCCCCCGCTGGCCCGTGGTGGCCCTGGGCTCCTCCAATCACAGCCACCCTGCAAGAGGGGCACTACTCATACCCACTCTGGGAGGAGGAGACCACGGTGTCCCCCAAGACCACGCTGAAGGACAGAGGCGCCCCCACGTGCCCTGGGTATCCCGGCTCCTCATTTCCACCCGCGGCCACCAGGCACGGCAGGAGAGCTCCGAGGCCACCATCCCTCCTCCAGAGCGCCGGCTGTCCAGGGCTGTGTGACCCAGGGCTGCGGGAAGGGACTGAGGAATGTCCCCTCATGAGCCTGCCAATGTCCCCAGCAGGACCAACACCCAGAGCTCCGTCAGGACAGAGTCCCCTGGAGCACAGGAGTCGGGGGCTCTGCGGGATACATAGGGCATCTCCTGGGCGTGTCCAGGAGGGACGGAGGACGGCAGAGCAGGGGTCTGTGGTGGGTGTGACGCTGGTCACAGGCCCCGAGCCCTGGCCGAGGCCCCCACCTAGGGAATGGGGTGGCTCTCTTGTCCCTTGCACACGTGCCCTGGGCACATGGGAAGAGCTCAGGGACCTCCAGGGAGCCTGTGCCCCACAGAGGGTCCACATCAACCTCTGGCTGTCCCCGTGGCTCAGCCCCGGCCACCACCTTCCGTGAATCCAGACAGAAACTGTCACGAGCGTCCCTCCCGCCACCAGGCCCGGCTGCCCACAGGAGCCAGTGGGAGGCAGGGGGCAGAGCCTGGTGCCCTGCCTGTCCCTCGTGGCAGGATGCTCCGAGGTCGCCTGGCCCTGGCCAGCCCATCCGGACACTAGAGCAACTTTTTTGCTGTGTGACTGCGTGGGTTTTAGTCCCTGGGTCACTCACGGAGCGGCCACCTCCACCAGGTCACTACCCCAACTCCTCCCCCGCCACAGCCTCCCAGCAACTGGGCTCTGTTCTGTCACTCTCCCTGAGACTGGTTTTCTCCACGGGGACAGAAACACTGCACTGTGACCTTGGGAGCCAGCTCTGGCCTCGGGGGTGACGCCCTGGGCACCTCAGCCCTGCTTGTCACCACAAAGGCCGCCCGGCCCGCCCGGGTTTGGGCAGGACCACACATTTTCACGTCCCTAAGGTGAAGGAGCCGGCGGGACGTGCTCAGGGCAGGTCTGTGCGGAAGTCTAGGACAAAGTGCCACCTGGTTCCCAGAGCAGGTGTCCCCAGTGTCCCCTGGCCAGAGCCTCCATGTCCCCCCAACGGCAGCCAGGACAGGCCACCAAATGACAATGGCGCAGTCCTCCTGTGCCCTGCTGTGGCCCTGGGCAAGATGTCCCCTACCGCGAAGTGGGGCTCCAAGTCCCACCTCCCAGGACCTGGGGCAGAGACTCCCCCACCCCTGAGCAGCACTGGGTGGGGCCGGCCTGGAGCCAGACCTGGGGGAGGACAGGCCCTGCCCTGAGGGGCGCCCAGCCTCCTGGGAGGGGCTGAGCCTCCGCAGCCAGCACTCTCATCTGTGAAATGGGAACAACCACCCCTACTTTTTTCCTGTCAATGGCCAAAGCAGGGGCAGAAAGGCTTCTCAAAAAGCCCCAAACTGCCACAGCAGGGGCCCGCGGCTCAGGGCTTAACTGCTCAAGTCGTTTTCCAATCCCAATCCACGCTCTTAGCTGTGCGCCTATGGGAAAGTCACTTAACCTCTCTGTACCTCAGTCTAGCTATCCGTCCCTGGGTAAAGAAGGGGCCCTACCTCACAGGGAAGTTCTGAGAATAAAAGACACCTGGCACCTTAAATTGGTGCGGGCACCTGTTCCCCCTCCACCCTGAGCACCCAGGCAAACACCGGTTTGGGGGCCAGCAGCCCTGGGTGTGAATCTCGGCTGCATCTTGTCACCAGCTGTGTGGCCTCGGGCAGGTCACAACAGCGGCTACCCGTGAGGTGGGGTCTTAGAATGCCACCAGGCTACACAGCAAAGTAGAATAAAAAATAGTGAAGGAGCAGACTTTTAAAAAAGAGGAGCCCGAGGGCAGAGGGAGGAGGCAGTAGGTGCCCCGGGCCTCCTGATGGGGAGAGGCCGAGCGAGGCCGAGGGAGGCCGGGCCCGCCGGCCACTCCCTTCCTCCACTCAGCCGCGCAGTGGGAAAAGCCAGGGCCAGGCCCGCGGGGCCGCCTGTCCCCCTGGACACCTCTGAAGGCCGGGCTTCCCCGCAGCAGCTGGGGCTGGGCAGGGCAGGCCGCCCTCTGCCCACCCGAGCGGCTGCCCCGGGCAGGAGGGCTTGTGGCCACAGACCGCGCCTCCGAGCCACGGCCACCAAGCCAGCCTCTGAGCCTGCCACCCGGGGTCCCTTGTCCCCGTGCTCCTTGCTCCTGAAGGCCACCTCTGCCTGGCTCTCCTCTAGGGGTCTCCCCTAGGGTCCAGTGTCCTCCCCTCCTGGCCACTGGCCACTCGCAGCTTGTGTCCCCAGGGGCTTAGCGGCAGGCTGTGTGGTTCCCCAAAAGGGAACCATTGGAGCCCCGTGGTCTTGTGCTCCGTGACTCTGGCTAGGCTGAGGCGCACAGTAGGCGCTCTGTCGGCAGCCAGGACACTCTGCATCCGGGTGGCCTGAGGGACAGGGGCTCTGCCAACCATGCCCGAGGCCCCACAGGTGAGAGGCCACCCAGACACGGCAGGCTGGTGGCCCCGGGCAGGAAGGGGGCTTGGCCGTGAGGCAGAACTGCGTTCCAGGCTGACTGGTCCCTGTGGGTCAAGTGGCCTTGGACAGGACACACGGGACTCATTCGCCAGTGCAGATGTCCCGTGCAGAGGGCCACGGGGCGCCTGTGCGATGGCGGGCGGGAGGGCTGGGTGGGGACCCTGGGCCCCGACACTGCCCCACCTCAGCAAGCTGTGGCCAGTGCTGGAAGGTGAGCGACTCGGCACCAGCCTGTCACTTCTGTTCCCTGGCCCAGGACAGCACCCGGCACGCCAGGGGCCCCGCCAGTCTGGGGCTCGGATTCAGGAGCAGGAGGGGCCAGGCTGGGTGTGGCTCAGAGCAGAGGCCCCCAGCCCTTCAAGCCCTGGGTTCAATCCCGGCATTAAACTCGGGGTCACAGTAAACAAAAGAGGGGGAAGGACGCTGCAGGCCCCCTACGGTCCTGTCCTATCCCCACCCACTGGGACCTCTGAGCACCCAAACCGGAGTCTCCAAACAGCACCCACTGGCAGTAAGCAGAACTGGGTGAAGTCCCCAGAGTGTGAAGCAGGCCAGGAAGAGAGGGGTTCATCTGGGGGTACAGGTGTCAACAGAGAATGACAGAATGGGGGAGGGGAGCATGTTCTTAATGACCAGACAAACTCGGGCTCAAAGCCCAACTCTTTCTCTAAAATGCTCTGTGATCTCAGGAAAGTTACTTAACCTCTCTGAACCTCCTCGAACTCATCTGTGAAACCTGATGACTGCGTCCACCCAGCTCACAGGTTCAAGATGCAGGAGAAGGAGAACCAGCAGCCCAGGGCCTGGCACCGGGGTATGTGCTCCACCGAGGAGAGCAATTCAGCATCAACGGGCACCTGCCCAGGCTCAGCCCTGGGCCGCAGAGCAGATGGGGCACTGTCCCTACGCAGGTCCTGGAGGACTTCCCCAACTTCCCCGTGTCCTTCCCGGGAAGCCTGGTTTCCATAGAAACGGATGGACCGCAGAGCTGTCCCGACCTGGAGACGGAGCCGTGAGGGCTGGCTGGCGGGGGCGGAGGGGCAGGGACCGGAACACCACCAGCTGCCGCTCCGGAGACTCAAGGGGAAGTCGCTCGCTGAGCTCCTCCGCCAGGGGCCACTTCCTCTCCAAACCCTGACTGTCCCTCCCCATCCGTGGGGAGAGCGGGCGGCAGGCAGCTGCGCCAGGCTGGGGGAAGGGCACAGTCCAGGACAGGAACCCGAGAAGCGCCCCAAGTCGCCCCCATTTTACAGATGAGAAAACTAAGGCCAGAGGGACTTATGTAAGTGTCCCTTGAGGTGAGTGGCAGAGCTGGAGTCCAGCCAAGGGAACCACATCCTGTGTGCATGTGCGTGTGTGTGTGCACACGTGTGTGCGTGTGTGTGTGAGAGAGAGAGAGATGGGGGCGGGGGACTTCAGGGAGCTCCACCCCAGAACGGAGCTGGGCCCTCTCGCCGTGGTCCCTGGCCTTGGGAGCACTGGCGTCCCCAGCATCTGAGCTCCTCCTGGGTCCCACCTCTCCGGGTTCAGGCCCTGGGTGACCTCAGCAGGTCCTGGGCAGGGCTGCCACTTGGAACCCGCTGTTGGGCTGTCACACTGGGACAAATAGCTGGAAATGGGGTCCGGGGCAGGGCAGCCGCGAGGTGGAGCCCTGGGCGCTGGGCAGGGCTGGCCGCAGGGCTGTGCCGGTCGGGGCGGACTGGGGGTGCCCACGGCCTGCTTCATCCACCAGATGCCCCCCGCCCAGCCAGGGCACAGTGACCCGCCTCTCCAGGGCTGTCCTGGAGGACAGGACGCCTGACCGCAAGGCTGTCCTGGGGCTGGTCACAGGAGGCAGAAGAGGTGTCACCTGTGGGCCTGCGTTACTGACCCCAGCACAGTGGCCTCTGGGGTGCAGATGTGGGCTAAGGGGACCCGGCGGGCTGCAGGAGGCTTGTGTGATCTGTGGGTCCCTGGAGAGCGGCCTGTCCCCGTGGGCCTGTCCCCGCAGCAGAGGGCCGGCTGCCATCCATCTCCGGGTCTCAGCGTCCCTGCTGGCCTCAGCGGCCTGCTGCCCCCAAAGTGGGGACCACAGAGGACCGGCAGGACAGTGGAGGGGAGACGGGGCCACCTCTGGCAGGGCTTTGCCCCCCCCAAAGACCAGAAGAGGACCCCGAGACCCCCCAGGAATGTGAGATGAGCCCTGGGCGCCACAGCACAGGGCTCGCCTGCCACCAGGAGCTGGCACGGGCGCTGTCACTGTGCCCGGGAAGCCAGGGCCTGTCCTGGGACCCAGCGTCCTGGTCTCCAAGAGGGGCCGGCAGGTCTCCAGACGCTGCCAAGGTTAGTGCCTGCTGAGGGCCACTCTCCGGCCACCCACATCCAGCTGCCCTGCCCGGCCCCACGCCCCCCACCTCAGGCCACCGAATGTCCCCATGTCCTCGTTCCATGCCGCCCAGGTCAGGAAGGCCAAGGCCAGCCGCAGCTTTCTTATAGACATGCCCGAAGCTTCGGGGACAAAACCATCAAAACATTCCCGACCGCACTGGGTGGGCGAGGGACGGGGGAGCAGGGCCGGGCAGGGCCGCTGCCGCTGTGTGGGAAGGAGGGCCAACCCTCTGGTGGCCACCGTCACCACTGGGAAGTCACCAAGAGGGCCTCTCCTGTCTCCAGGGTCACTGGCCAAGGCAGGGTGTGTGGACGACTCCTGTCCTCTTCAGCCCAGAGTGGGCCTGCCTCCCGCTTGGCCTGGTGACCCTGCCAGGGCCCCTGAGGGCCACCAGTGCTGTTATGGCACAGCTGGGCCCCGGGTCCTCCGGGCGGGGCCTCCCTCCCCCAGGAGGCTGCTCAGGACCTGGGCAGGGAGGAGGCGGCCGAGGACAGGAAAGCGGGGGCTTCCTGAGGGGCGCTCTGCCCTTGGAGGCCGCTCTCCCAGAGCTGATGTGCATTCTGGGTAAGCTCAGGCAGGCAGACCGGTCCCCGCGGTTTTCCCAGAACCACAGCCCGGGAATGAGTCTCCCCGACACCCAGGGCCGGGAGCTTAGCAGTTAAAGGCAGAAGTCACCACACCAAGGCTGGTGCCGACATCCTGGCCCTGCCACCTACTGGCTGCGGGATCTGGGGCCAGGAACAGGCTGTCCGACCTCAGTTTCCACACCTGTTAAATGGGTGCAGGGATGACCCCCACCTCCCTGCTGGTAGGATGCACAGAGCCATCTGGAACAGGGCAGCCTTGCAGACCACACTTGGTAACAGTGTTGCCCTTGCTGCCTTCAGAGGGGAGGCTCCCCTTCTCTGCCTGTTTCTCCCTCAACCAAACCAGCTTCAGAGATGCCATGAGAGGGGGTGGCCACAGGGAAGAAGCAGAAGTGGCTTTTATGTATCATCCCTGATCTCCCACACTCCCTCATCTGCAAAAACAGGGGGGTGTGCTCCCACCCTTCCTGGCTGGCTTGCCTCCTCTCCTCCCCAGCCCCTCAGTCCATCCGAGCCCCTGTTTCTGTGTTTCTGCCACAGGCCCCTTGCACCAGCCTGCCCTGTGGGATCTCTCCTCCCCACAGCTGTCTGCCCAGCTCACTTCCTCAAAGCTGGAGCTCAACAGTCAGCTGCCCCCTGGGAAGGCCCATCTGACCACGGAGGTCTGTGTCTACTTAAAGATGGCAATGCCACCCCCAGCCTCCACGCCACGCCCCTCCCCACGGTCCCCCTCACCTCCCAGTGCACTATAGAAACTCTTTTTAGTATTTGCCTTCCCCACCCTGAAGGGTCAGCTCCAGGCCAGGCATCTTCGGTTGGTCCCCAGCTGTCTCCCCAGGTGGCTGGAACTGTGCTGGTCTTTGCTCAATAAATAATTTGGGGCGTAGTGTTTGCAACGTGTTGTTCAAAGTGAAGAGCACCCCAAGAAGGCTGTGTGGGTGTGCTGGGAATCCCCTGCTGCCCCACCCAGGGAGGCGGCCCCTCCTCCTGCCGAGCTCCAGGCCCTGGGAGCCGGGCAGGGGAGGGGAGGCGGCGGAGAAGCTGCAGGGGTCCTGGGCAGGGCTCCGCCAGGAACAAGTGGGCCCCACCCCACCTTTGGAAATCGTGACGCCTCTAACAGCTGCGGGCACAAAGGAAGCCGGGCAGCTGGCTTTCTAAGAAGCTGGGGCCGAGGGAGGTCAGGGGCAGCGCTCCATCTTACAGACGAAACCCCAGAGACCTGGAGAAGACTCGCCCGCCCGACACCCCGACTCTAGAATTCTCCCCTCCAGCCGGGCTGAGCCTGGGGCTGTGGCCAAGGGGCGAACAGCGCCCCCTCCTGGTTCTTCAACAAAGAGACCCCCGAGTCCCAGGGATCGGCGGGCTGCAGGGCGCGGCCCCTGTTCACAGGCCACCAGAGGTGGAGGTCCTAGGGGCTGCACAGTAGGGGCGCGCATCCTGCAGCCCGCGGACTTCTCCCCACCGTCCGGCCCAGTCCAGAAAAGTTTGTCTAAAAGAAACCAAACAGGAAGTGCTGGTGGTGGGGCCGCGAGGCGGCCTCGGCCATCTGCGCCGGCCTCTGGGGAAGCCTCCAGGCTCCCGGCCTCCGCCGGGTTCCCGCCCCCCCGCCTCCAGAGCGCGCGCGGAAGAACCCGCTTCCCCGGGGCTGCCAGGAGGAGGCGGGAGCGCGCGCCTGGGTGGGGGCGAGGGAAGGTAGAGCAAAGGGACCCAAAGCGAGCGCCGAGCCCTGGGGGCGCCCGGGGATGGGGACGCCGTTCTAGTCTGTCCTCTACAGAGCCCGCGGGGTAGGTGCTAGTATTTTGCCCACCGCGGGGACCGGGGCTCGCCGTGCGCTAGGCCCACGGCCGCACACCACCCCTTCCAGCTGATCGCGCGGCCTGGGGACGGGCGGGGGCGTCGCTGACCACCTGCGCTCCTCTACCCCCCTCCGAGCTGGGGCTTAGGCGCAGCCCGCGTTTCGGCCGCTGCTCGCCAGCCCGGCCACTGGGATCTCGCCCGGCCTGGCCCCTGCCGCCTCCGATCGGTCGCTTACCCCCCGGCTCTACACCCCGCCTCCCACTTTCTGAGACCCCGGCTCTTGGCAGCTGGGTGTCCCGGCTCCTCCCGTCCAGCCCCCACCCCCACACCGAAAGGTCGCGCCAGACTGTGGGCAGCGGCAACTCCGCCACCACCTCGGTCCGCGGCCCTGCGGGGGCGAAGACCGGGGAACCCGCAAGTTTGTGCCGCGCACTCCCGGCCGGGAAACAAAGGCGGGAGGGGGTGCGGTAGGCAGAGAGAAGGAGGGGGAGGGGACAGAGCACCGCGCACCGGGGACAGAGACCCCAGGGAGAGACAAACTGCTCCGATTCTTTCTTGCTCCGAAGAAGAGGGCACGAGCCCAAGCCCCGGAGGCCCAGGAGGCAGAAGCAGTCCGAGAGGAAGGCGGCGGCGGCGGCAGAGAGCCGGGAGGGGGAAACTGAGTCAGGGGACCAGAGAGCGCGAAGGGGCAGCGGGACGGCGCTGGCAGAGCCGGGGAGAGAACCCGATGGGTCCCCGCAGAACCTGCAGGTGGCCAGCGGTCCGGGCGCTCGGCCGGCGCGCGCGGAGTGCCGCTGCCCCCAGCGGTCCCTGCGGCCGCGGAGCCCCGCGGGCTGAGCTGCGCAGGCAGCGGCGGCGGCGGGCGGCGGACTTACGTGGCTAGCGCATGCTGGCGCCCGCGCGGCGCGGAGCTGGCGTGCCTGGGGACCTCGGCCCTCACGCCTCACATCGCGCCGCCGCTCCGGGCGGCAGGGCAGGGCAGGGCCGGCTGGACTCCTGCGCCGCAGGCTTTGCCCGAGTCCTGGCGGTGCGCTCTGGTCCCTCCTCTAGTTCCGCGCACAAGCCAATGGCGCGCCGTCCCCTCCCACGCGCCCGGCTGCCTCGCCCCCGAGGTGGCCGCCAGGGCGGGAGCAGAGGGGTTGGGGGACGAGGCCCCGAGCTCTCCAGCCACGGCTTTGTTGGAGATCGCCTGCGGGGGGCGCACCCACGCCCGGGAGAAGGCGCCTGGCCGTGGAAATCCAGGACCGGCACACCCCGGAGTGGCCCGCGCCGCCTAGGAGGACTTTGTTGGCAAGTTCTGAAGATTCTGAAGACAGCGCCCCTTTCCTGGGCTGTCAACATCCCGGTGGATAAATCATCCTGACTTGAATGGCCTCGCCCAGGCGGGGGTCTAAAATGGAAGGGACTGCTTTGTCTGGTAGCGATATCCAAGTGCGACAACACGCACCAAATGCTGAGCTCCCAGCTGGGGCCAGCGCCGTGTGCTTGCGGAGTTGCAAGTTTAAAATCATCTGCGTCTCCCAACCACCTCGAAATGATCCGTTGAAGCGAGTCGGTGTGATGAGCCCATCGAGTTGATGCCTAGTCCCATTTTACAGATGGTCGTCGTTCATGTGCCTTTGGCTCAGCCTACAGCCTCCCAACCCAGGCCCACCCTTCGCCCCCCCTGCTTGGTGTGACTTTGCCAAATAACGAGTCCCCACTCAACCACCACCTTCTGCCCCACCCTAAAATCCAACTTCAGTATGTGGATGGCGATTGCACTGTGTCTGGATGCCTTGGGGACTCGTGGCTGCCTCGTGATTTCTCTCTTTGCACAGGCTGTTGGGGGTGTGAGGGGAGGGTGGGGTGAGGTGTGGGGGTCCTGGAGGCTCTGGGAATCTGCCAGCCTCAAAGAACCAGACTCTCAAGAACACCTCCCCTACCCCCACTTATTCTGGACTTGTCTCCTCAGGGCTAGTCTGTGCTCTCTGGCCCACCTCGTCCCCACCCTGCGCCCCTCCTGCTTAGAGAAATGCTGAGATTTTCTTCCTGCGGGGGCCACGGTGGGTCTGGAGGAGAGAAGGAAAGGAAGGCTGATGACATGCTCCATTTCACAGGGTAAGTAGGACAGCGGGAGGGAAGGCCCAGGCGTCTTGCTAGGTGGGCATCCTGACTGGGTCTGAATCTTTCTGCACTAGTTCCTTCGGGGTTAATCAAGCAAGACTCTGGAACCGGAGGGCTGGGGTTCAAATCCAGGCTCTGCCTTTTAGAGACCACGTGACCTTGGGCCAGTAGGTTACCTCACCTCTTGTCCCGACTCCTCTCCTCATTTGCAAAATGGAGGTGACCCATAGTAGGAAGCACCTACAGTTCTTGCGGAGATTTCAAGTTAATAGCGGCAGCTCAGGTTGATTGAGCGCTGGCGGAGTGCCAGGTGCTCGGGGCTGGCATGCCAGGTGCTCGGGGCTGGCGTGCCAGGCAGACTCCCCCTGCCCTCCCTGGAGCGGGACTGGGCATGAGAGGCTGTGCCCCTTGCCAGGAAGTAAACAGAACAGTGCTCGGCTCCTAGCACAGTGACTGTTCACTGTCCTGATTACCAAGGTAACTAAACTCCGATCGTAGTGCCACCAACTCTGCTCCCAGCCAATGATGAGGGAGCCAGACAACAGGTGTGTGGCCCCAGAGGGGACTTAGACTGAGCCCAGATCCAAGAGCCACCTGACTTGGGGCCCTGTCCTGGGCATTGCAATAGCTCAGCGTCTCAGCTCGGGCCTGAAGGAGGCTAGAGGGGGCTGGGATGGTGAGTGAGTCCTTGTCCCTCCCTCTCTGCTCTTGGCATGCCTGTGCTGGGCTGAGGCTGCTCCGCCATCCTTTGTGAAGGAGGCAGTCTAACCGGCCCCCTGCCTGTTGGCCTGGCAAGGTGCTGGGTGCTGGGGCCCTGGGGTGAAAGGGCACCATCCCTGTCTTTGGGGGGGCTCCCGACCTCCCGGGGGACAGTCAGCAGAGGAAACACTCGCAGTGACAGCTGATAACCTTGGAAACCCACGGCACAGGCTTCAGCACCCCGAGGGTGGAGACCACCTCTCTGGTGTCCGTGGCCAGCTCTTTGCTGGCTTCTGCTTGCAGGCTGCTAGTGACGAGGTGCTTAGTACTGCGAAGAGAGCCTCTTGTCTATTGGAGGAAGAGTGCCCAGACCGGAGGAGGCAGGCCATTCCCCGTGCCCCGCTGGCCCTCAGGCTCCCCGCTTTCCTCCTCCTCCCTGTGCGCTATTCTGAGGGCCAGTGTGACCAGTCCAGGAACATCCCTCGGGCTGCCAGGCCTTGATTCCTGAGTTACTGCATCTTCGTGTTGGGCATGGAAGGCTCACCTGGCTGGGCGCGTGGGAACCATGAGGCTCAGGGTCATTTGCAGAGGAGGAAGGACCTGAATGAGGTGGGGGAGAGGGGTTGGGACTTGAGCTGTGCACCTCCCTAGCTATGTGACCCTGGGCTGCACCTGAGAAGTGGAAACAGAACCATCTGCCTCTGGGAACTGGAGAGTCAAGTGAGGGATTCGATTAAAAGGTTTGCAAACTGCAAGCGCTGATTCCTATTATTATCCTGATGATTGTGACTCTTAAAATGTTCCGAGAGCCTGGGGAGTGGGGGTGGGGTGGAGCCAGGAGGGTGGAGGGAGTTTTGACTGTGTCCCTGTGTCTGTCTGCTGGTGCAGGTGGGGGCTAGACTGAGGAGGGGCAGCCTGGGAGCGCCAGTTTCTGTGCCCAGAATCACTTATGGAGTGTGAGTCCTGGAGGAAGAATGAGGATGTAATTTGATTTCAGAGAAACCTGCAGTGAGACCTGGGTCAGAATGAGCTGAGAGGCTGGGGTGGGGGCTGGGCCTGGTCTTTGGGGCCAGGACCTGGGGACAGAGGTTTCAGCAATGACCACCCCCACGCTGGGGATAGGGGACCTGTAGAGGTGGAGCATGTTCTTAGGGGCCTGTTGTGTTGAGACCAGGGATTTGGGGGCCAACAGACCTGGATTCAAATCCTGACTCTGGAACCACCTCTGAGCCTCATCTGCAGAATGGGGATGGCAGGGCTTAGTGGAAACTTCAGGGACAGGCCTGGGTTTTGGTCAGCTTGGCACTGTTGTGACCAGAATACCTGACAAGAACAACTCAGAGGAGGGACAGTTCATTTAGGGCTCATGGTATCAGAGGTCTCAGTCCGGAGATGGCTGGCTCCATGCTCTGGGCCACAGGTGAGGCAGAGCATCCTGGGGGGAGGGCTGAGGGCTGGGGGGAGGGCTGGGGGGGGCCGCTCAGCTCACCGTGGGGTCAGACAGCAGAGGGCAAGAGAGAGGAAGGGGCGGCAGAGAGAGAGAGAGAAAGGGGCGCAGGGAACATCTCCCAGGCAGGCCCCACCGGCCCCTCTCCCCCAGCCGCACCCCACCTGCCCACAGTTGCCGCCCATTTCAACTAGGCTGGGCCGTGCAGGGGCTTTGAGAGGAGAGCTCCTGTAGGAAGCCGAGCCACAGTGCTGCTGTTGGCAGGAGGGGAGCAGGGCCTGGGGCTGTGCTCCGTGGGCTGCAGGGGGCAGCTCTGGGTGAACTGCCCGCCCGAGTTGGTCAAGGTGCCACAGGAGCTTCCGCTTGGCCCAGGCAGAAGGGCCTCCCCCCACGCCCAGGGATGGGCAGAGGGACTGGGCTTTCTCAGCTCCTTCCTGTTCCCCTTCCTGCTGACCCAGGCTTCCTTCCTCAGTGGCAGGAGCTCTGTACTGTCCCCTCCAGCCCCGGGGCTCATTTAAACCCACACTTAGGTCCTCCAGGGCCCATTTCACAGGGAGAGCTAAGGTCAGCTACATGCACGGGGGAGTGGAAGCAATGGGCTGGGAGCCCAAGGCTTCGGGTTCTGGAATATTATCCTGGGCCTTCTCCGACCGGCGGCTGAGCCAGGTGGGCTCCACACAGCTCCAGACAGGCCTCCCGGCGAGTCCTGCTCCTCTCCATCCTCCAGCCAGGAGGCTGACCAGGCCTCCCCCCCACAGCTGCCCCCCTCCTGTGACTCATCCCTCTGTGCTGTGGCATCTCTGCTCTGGGACCGGAAATGCCAGGCAGCTCCTTACCTGTGGGAGAGAGCTGATCTGAGGGGGCGGGTGGGAGTAAAGAGGCTCAGGTCTCCCCAAGGAAGAGCGGCACAGCTCAGGGACCACAGACTTCCGTCAGCCCTCGCCTGCTGCCTCTGGGTAGAGGCCCAAAGGAGGCAGGTGAGATGGCACTTGGGAGTCAGAGCTCTGTGACGGTAGGCGAGTTACTCAGCCTCTCTGAGCCCCAAGGTGTTCATCTGTCACATGGAAAGAGGGCAATGACACAGAGGGTACTGAAGGATTAAGTGAGATGTGGTGTAAGGCCTGATGTTCCTTGACTCAGCGGTGAGTGAACGGGGCCATGGAAGCGAGTGGGGGCCACGCAGCGCGTGAGATTGTAGGAAAGCCAGCCTCCCCCTGGGGAGAGCAGGAGATGTCTCAGGATCCCCGCTGCTCAGAACCTCAGCCAGGATCCAGTATGGAGTCCCCTCGTGGGGACACCTGCCGATTCCACAAACAAGCAAGAGCTTCAAGCTCAGCTGGGCCTCTGTGCCAGTGCTGAGCCCTGGACAAGGCGAGCGAGGGGAGCAGAAACTGGGCCCTCAGCTCGGGTGCCCTCTTCCAGGAATCCTGCCCTGGTAAGTCCCTCAGCAGCCGCTCTGGGCTGTGGGGACACGGATATACACCCCGAGTGTCCCTCTCAGGGTGTGGCTAGCCTCTCACCTGCTTCCTGCTCAGGAGCACACGGGGCCACCTGTGTCCCATGGCCTGGGCTTTACCCTTCTCTCACAGACAGCATTCTGAGCCATTACCACAGGCCAGAGCCCAGCCTGTCCACTAATCTTCAAGTCGTCACGGTCACTGTCGTCACTGGCACCATTTTCTAGATGGGAAAGCGGAGGCCCCCGAGTTACACAACGTGCCCTGGGTCACACGGGAAGTTCACTGGTCGTCTGGCCCAGAGCCCCCGTGGCTCTGGCTCTAACACCCACCAGGGCAGGGGTTGCTGATGCTTTTGCAAGACTGGGCCACTTGGGCCCCCCCTTCCCAGCACAGTCACTCACTGGACCCAGGGGAACATCTGCCAGCAGACTCTTGTTTGGAAATGGCTTTAGAGTCATGTGATCCTCAAAGCATAGTTGTGGTGTGTGTGGGGGGGAGTGCATTCTGGAAAAGCAAATTTTCAGTCTCATCCGAGAGAACAGAATGAGAAACTCTGGAGGAGGGCGTGGCAGGGGTAGGATCGGTCCCACTCTGGCAGCCAAGGGAATTCCGGTAGCAGCTGAAGTTGGTCTGCAGGGCGGATTGCTAGAGTATCTCATTTAAACCCACACTTAGGTCCTCCAGGGCCCATTTCACAGGGAGAGCTAAGGTCAGCTACATGCACGGGGGAGTGGAAGCAATGGGCTGGGAGCCCAAGGCTTCGGGTTCTGGAATATTGTCCTGGGCCTTCTCCGACCGGCGGCTGAGCCAGGTGGGTGGGGGAGGGGCCGGAGAGGAGGGGCGTGGCGAGGGGCGGGGGGAGCGAGGGGCGGGGAGAGCCACCCCCTCCTCCTGGGGGAGGGGCGGGCCGTGCGCGACGCTCCCTCCGGGCGCCCCAACCCGAGTCTGCCTCAGCAGCCCAGCCCGGCATTTTGAGTGATCGGTTTATTAATACTCCGGGGCGCTGCCGAGGCGGAGCGCAGTAACAAAGGCGGCCTCGCCTCGCCGAGCCTCGTTATGTAATGGCCGGGCGCCGGGCGCGCTCCCTCGCTGGGGCCCCGGAGGCGGAGGAGCACCTGCCGGGACACCCACCCGCGCCCCGTCCGCGGCCCGGGGAGGACCAACCGACCCGGGGGACAGATCTCCTGCCCCGGAGACCCGAAGGCTGAGCCAGCCTCTGCCCGGCTTTCCAGCGACCCTCGGCCCCGACCTCCCTCTTCCTGCGTCCCGAGGAGGACAGCGCCTGGCGGGACCGGCGGAGCCGGCGCCGTGACTGTGCATCAACTCCAGCCACCTCTGGGGGGCGGCCCGCCCTTCACCCGGGAAACCAAGGCCCAAGGCTGGCTTCA